CTTTATCTGCACACTGGAGTAGGGCAGAGATGCCATAGGAGTGTCATACGTAGCTGTGAAAAGGCTATAACACATACTGAAAACAATTACTAGAATCTGACTGGTACTTGTAGGCAACATCAGTAGTTAACTGAAACAGGTTTATTAAATGTGCACCAAATCCTACAGCACTGTACATGTAGATGAGCAAGGTAACCACAGTGAAATGTTCAACAGAGAATTAAAGTATCTATACCCAGATTGCAAAATGTAATATATTGCAGATTACCAGTCCTTAAATGTGGTTGCTGCATTACTTTTCCTTTTTTAGGTTTTTTTTTTTTCCAGGAAATTCTCTGTGACTTAGGTTGGCTACATTCACTCCTTCACTGTATCTATGGAGGGGCAGAGGCGTTCCTAGAGTTGGTGTCACCCTTCTAACAATCCCCGCAGGATGGATCAGATCGGCGGAATGAGCATAACAGATCAGAGTCCAGTCCATTATGCTCCCCAATCCGGAGATCTGATCCATCTTGCGTGGATCGTCTGCTGCAACCTATACGGGGTTAACTGATCTTTCAACATTGGTCCCATCTGCACATGCTCGAGAAGTGATGTCAGATGGAGGAGGTTCCTGCTATCGGGGCCACATTTCTTGGTTACAGACAAGTCCTGGATCTTGCACAGCCTTACCTAGATCAGTTAACCCTGTATAGGTTGCAAGCCAAGGATCCCCGCAGGATGGATCGGATCTGCGGTCTGGGGAGCATAATGGATCGGACTCCGATCCATTATGCTCAATCCGCAGATCTGATCCATCTTGCGGGGATCGTCGGTTTGCTTTAAAACTTTCCTTTTCGTGTGGAACTTGTGGAGAGGATCTGGTGTCATCCCCCCGTGCCATAGGTGTCATCCGGTGCGGCGCGCACTCCCTGCACCCGCCTAGTGACGCCACTGTGGAGGGGTAACATAGCCTTAGACAGCAGCCATGTCAATCTGGGAAGAGGGTAATGTTCAAAACACTAGCAGATTTAAACAGACATGACTAACAAATTAAAACCATACTCCAGCTTTCACTTTTTAGCAGTTACAAAAACAGATTTTTTTTTTCTTTTGGGATAAATGTTTTACATGAATAAATAAAAGCTGACCATTGTAAGCACCCCTGTCAGTGGCAATAAGTTTGTCTCAACACTATCCGACTTTTGCTGGACAGCTTGGTCTGTTAAAGGAAGATGAATTATAAAAACTTACTGGCCAGACCACTGGGTAAAAAAATAAAAATCCATCCACCACAACCAAGGCTCCATTCACACCTTAGTGTTCCAAGAAAGCATGTAGAAACATGCTTTTCTGCGTGAGTTCTTGGAAAAGGCCAGAAAATGCACATTGCACTTGTGGTGCCATTAGTTCTCACCCTAGGTTCACATATGTGTGGGTGGTGCCGCTGTGGATCCGAACAAAAACAGGTTAGTTCTAATGGCACACCGCCCGCACTGGAAAACGCAACCGTACTGGGAACCAAGGTTCCCATGCGGTCTGCATTTTCAAAAGAAGTGCAGGGCCTTTTAACTGAGTGTCACGGGGCACAGGAGTCCATTCAAATGAATGTGCTCTCGTGCCCATGCAAAACGCGGCCTGCACGGCCACATATATGTGAACCAGGGGTTAATAGCATTCCAAACGCAGGTTGCAGTCGTGCATTTTGGCATGCAACAAAATGCAGTAGACTCTGAAAAAAAAATGCAGGAAATACTTTGTGCCTGATGAAGGGGTCCTGCGGAAATCCGAAATGTTGCTATATGATGTAGGGGTGTGGTCGCTGAATAAAGTTTTGAACCCACTCTGGAGATCCATAGTGTGCTGGTGACATTCTATCAAACATGCAAAAAAAAAAGCGCTAAAAAATTGTAATGCGTTACACCACATTGCGCAGGTGTGAATGCGGTCTAAGAATTGGTAAGCTGCAATATGTTACTTTTTTTTTCAGTTTAGAAAAGCTTTATATGTCAGTGCAGAAATAGGATAGGTCACTTCTATTGGTAAAAAGGACTATAGCAGTGAATGGGCAGGCAGAAATTCCGCATCTGAACATCTTGTTTTTCAGCCCAGCTTTGGCAATAAATAGGACAGTATCTATCACACAAGCCTCCCTCTGTTAAGACCTAGGAGCAGGGAGGTCAAGGTGCTTTCCCGTTACAGAGTGTCTTGAAGCCGGCTTAGACACCAGATAGGCTCTTCTCTCTTATCCAGTTCCATTTCCCCCAAAACTGAAAAATATCTGAGGCATCTTCTGTCTATACATTCAAAGCTTACCAGTCTTTAGATGTGGTGGCTGCATTAGTTTGAATTGTTCAGGCTTTTTTTTCACCTGGCAATCTTTATGAATAGCACACTTCCTGTCCTAGGGTGGCTACACTTACTTTTCCACTGTATCTATGGAGGGAGCCATGGCTGTCTCCTATGCTGGACTACAAATATTTCTGCCTTTCTTCATCTTCAATACATAAGGGCTAATGAGATTAGGAGTTCACATAAGAAAGATAAGGTTGTTTGTGCTTTCAATTCATCTCATAAGAGGTGTCAAGGACACTGCATTTCTGGAAAAGCCAACAAGTATTTTCAGTAATTACTGAAACTTTTCTTACTCTTAAAAAAAGAAAACAAATGCAGCCACCACACCTAAGGTCTTGTCAGCTGAAATATATTATGGTTTTGTTTTGGGGTTTCGTTGTCCTTTAAAGAGAACTAGTCACTGCCAGGTTAGTAAACTGCCTGAAGGTACCCTACTTTCCCTTTTGTTCAGGGTTCTCAAAATTCTTGGGGCTAAAGCTGGAAATAGCAGAGCAGTCAGTTTGGGTGCAGGAGATTAGAAGCCACAGGTGAATGAAGGACAGGGAAACTGCACAATTATGGGTAAGGTAGGTCAGAGCTTTGAGAGCATGTCCAGCCATTACCCTAATTTACCCATACCTCAATAACTCATCTGAAGCATATCCCCATCTTTTTTTTTTCCTTCTTTACCTCATCTTTTTTTTATGCATGTGTTATCACAAGGCTTTAAAAAAATATTGCAGGAAAGACTGGTGGGAAGGAAGGGGGGGGGGGGGGGTCACATCAGTTTCTATTGATGTAGGCACACCCCAAGAACTACATATGTCCGAAGCTCTTTCCCTCCACAAAGTGTGTGTAAAGGCTCTTGGGAGTCAAGGCAGCAGTATGGTTTGCTGGGAAAAAAATCATTACATGCAAGTGAAGAGGAGATGGGGTGGAGATCTGTAGTCCAGCAGCCAGGGCTGACAATGCTGGTTGGGATTTCAGTGCAGAAAAGACAGTGTGATGTCAGAACTAACTGGAAGTCAGGAGCCCGATCGTTTTTTTTTGCTGGATCAAACAGGTATTGTTTTTGTATTTTAAAGGGATAAAACATGGAGAAATGTGCCTTTATTGCATAGATTTGTAATAATATGTTTTTTTTATTTTGTTTTCTTTTACTCCACCAAAATTTTACCAATGTTGGGTTTTTTTTTGGTGCTGAATACCCTGAAAACCCCCTTCCCTCCACAAGACTGCCAGTTAGTTAGAGCAGCCATTCTCAACCAGAGTTCCTCCAGAGGCAGCTAGGGATTCCTTAAGCTGTGGCTGATTGACCTCCCATCTGATGGTGCCTTCAGAGTTTTAGGTTCAATGCCACTCGGGAGAAAGCGTGGCCTGCGCACCATGCCACTAATAACCTTTTTAGCTCTTTGTATGGTTGCCAATCTTTCCACTTATCTCCAATGTAAGAATTCATTTTAGCATGAGTTCCCTGAGACCTACAAATTATTTCAAGATTCCTATAGAGCAGCAATCCTCAACCAGGGTTCCTCCAAAGGTTGATTGGAGTTCCCTGAGCTATGGCTTACTGACCTCCCATCTGATGCTGCCTTAACAGTTCCAGGGTCAACATTACTTCCCAAAGCCAGCTGCATGACACCGATGATCTTTTTGTCTGTAAGGGGGACATTCTGACCAGTATTGTAAAGAAAGCATTCTTCCCACTCACCACCAATGTAGGGACTTTTTTTTTTTTAGCTAACCAACAATAAAATTGGTTTTAGCAGGATTTCTTGAGACCTGAAAATTATTTCAAGGGTTCCTCTGGGGTGCACAGTTCAAAAGATTGGTTGAGAGCAGCCCACACACCCTCCTGGAGCTCATTCACACCCCCTAAAACAGAAGTGTAGGCTGCCATTAGGATAGAAATCATCATGGGTCTGGAACTCCATAGGTCTAGCTCTACTAGGGAAAGTAGGTAAAGGTGACTTTAAGTGCCCTTTTAAAATTGAGCTAGCAGTTGACCTAACTGATAGAAAAAACCAGGTTCACTTTAACCTTTGGTGCAGTACCTCTGGTTCTTCCGTAGTGTTGTTAGCGCACTAATATCCATAGTACAAATGCACCCCAATGCTTTCCACAATAACCATATAATGTCAACACTACACAGACTTGAGTGAGTACTGCACCAAAAAACAGGAATGTATGTGTCCGTGGGTGCAGTCTACATTCAAGACCGTATTTTGAGAACCACTTCAAAAGATGATTGTGCCACGGTCTTTGTACAGTCAGCATGCAGGAAAAGTACCATACAGCAACTGTACCCTACAGGCCATCTCACTCATAGCTGTGCATTTTACACGTTTCTCCATTTATCATTCATACAATGAATGGTGAGTTTTCCAGAAAATACAGCCAACTCAACTTTAGCCAATGAACAGGTGTAAAATGATCCCTGATGGAAAATCCAACTCCTCTATTATTCCAGAGAAGACAACGGTCCAGACTGGAGGCCACCAAGTCCTAATCTTGCTTGGCGAAGGTTTATCCATTGAATATTCCATTTAGAGTGGAAGAATCTTCTGTAAGCTTTAATGTCCAGAAAGAAGAATGAAATAAATACAAATGCAAAGTCCAGATCTCTCCCTAGGATCTGTAGTTCATCTATACAGTTATTTACATGAAGGCAAATTCATATTAGATCCTCAATATGACAAGCTCTGTGTCTCTGTCTGGGACTCTAATGTCTCTGCAATGTCTTCAAGTTCGTCCAAAACCTCACTGAATGACGGTCTCTTAAATGCCTCCAACTGTATAAAAGAGAGGAAACATGTATTATACAACCTGAATGGCGATTAACTCCCAAATACATGAATGGTCAATAGCAATTTCTCCTTAACAGACATACTATTGGTAAGCTGAAATCAAGATTGGTTGCTCTGGGTTAAAAGCTCCCAGTAACCCGGGAACCAGAATGTTCTCCAGCAGCACTATACAGCAAGGCAAAGTACAGTAGCCTGCAATGACCAATCAGTAGTCATCCCTTAACGATGGCGCCACCTGGCCCATTAAGGCGTTTCTGATGCCGGGAGGCGGGGCAGGGTTTATGATCATGTGACCGCTGTGACTAGGGGCGTGTAAATGTGCTGAGAGTGCGCAATCTCGGCACAGGTTTGTTCTCATTTTGGTATGCAAATATGCAGTAGCTCAGCTTCAAGGCCCACTCACCAAGAGGCCACATATTTGCGTACTCTCAGCGCAAAGAGGTTAAAGTAAATGTAAACCCTAAATGGATAAAATGGAGTATATTAAAGCACAGTGCATTCAAGTGGCTTAAACCGAACATGTCTTTTTGCCACACTTAACACTTATGCTGACTAACCAGTGTAAAAAAAAAAAAAAAAAAAAAAAGAAAGAAGTATATATACTTACCGAGTTTCAGGCCAGGCCAGTCCGGTCCGGTTATGTGATCTGGTCCCCCTGCATCAGCTGCAGCAGAGAGGAGGGAGCACTGACAACGGATGGGCTATATTATTACATAATTAGTCTGGCTGAAAAAAGACAAAAGCCCATCCAGTTCAACCATTAAAAAAAAGTTATAATCCTATACCCACAGTTGATCCAGAGGAAGGAAAAAAAAAAAACAGCAAAGCATGATCCAATTTGCTCCTACAGGAGAAAAAAATTCCTTCCTGATCCCCGAGAGGCAATTGGATATTCCCTGGATCAATTTTACCTATAAGAGGTTAAATGCCATGTTATGGCCATAGGAGCCTATGGATGACGTCTCTACTCCAGGCTTAAAGAGAACTCTCTCCTCTCCCCTGCAGCTGCCACTGACTGACACAGGGGAGATCCGTGACCAGATTGGAGCAGGCTGAAAATAGATAAGTATATACATCTCTTTACACAGGTTAGCCAGCATATGTGTTAGGAGGGGGGAGGGGGGGGTAGTTATCTCCTTTATTACATGCTGTTCAAAACAATGAAAACTTCATCCAGCATGCATTTCTACACACTATAAGGAAGTGATGAATATATTATAAATCACAGGAAAAAGGAGAATGTAGAGAATATAAATTCCATTCTGGAATACCACAGTTACCGCTTTTAAATGCTTGTGGAGAATCTTTCCGTTTATCAAAACCAAAGAAATCACGTTTTTTTGTTTAAAGTGGCTGTAAAACTGAAACATGAAATATGAACAAATCATATCCCTACAAAGTGTGTACTTGTCTCAATCCAGAGCATTAAGTGTCATTTCTGTCCACTGCCTTCTTCCTCTGCTAGAAGCATGAGTCACTTCTGACAAGTTTTCCTGACACCAAGAGAAAAATGGTGACAGGGAAAAGCACAGCCTGTCATTAACAGCCTCAGCTCTGTTCCTGTAAGCTGTGTGAAGAAGGGTATGCCCCTTCCCTTCAATCAGCTCTCAGAGCTGTCAGCTATCCCCCCCCCCCCCCCCCCCCGGATTTTCTGGACTGAGAGATCCTGTGGAAATTCTGCGCTTTGAATTCATATAGAGGAAAGACGACCGTAGATAAACAGGTACAACCTGTGTAGGATGATTTGTGTAATCTCTGTGTGTCACCTACTCCCCTCCCCCCCAAAAAAAAGAAAAAGAAAAAAAAAACTCAAATATTGTGTTATATGAAAAACTGCAAAACCCACCATTATATTCTCTAGGGCCTGTGCTAAAAGATATATATATATATGTTTCGGTTTTTTTTTTTTTTGGGGGGGGGGGTTATAAGTAATTTTCTAGCAAAAAAAATATTGATTTTTTATATGTAGAGGAGAAACGTTAGAATTGGCCCCATAGAGAAGTTCTTAAGTGAATAATGTGTATGCATGGGGAAAAATTGGATCATCAGTTAAAGCATCAAAGCGCTACTTCAGCCCAATAAAATGAACCCTTACCCTGCAACAGCTGGCTGCTAACTCCAGGACTCGATGAGGACAGTCTTTAACTAGTGCTTGAAAAGCAGCCACGTCCAAGCCATAGTCCTGAAAATGACAAAAAACCATCAGCTCAAGCATAGTACATACAGCAGATGATGAAGAACGCCAACCTAGACATAAACACAGAACAGAACGGTAAAGGCAGATTGATATTTCAGTTTTGAGTATTTAGTGGTAACATTGAGAAGGAAACACTAGGCTAACATAGCTTTTGGCTTCAACACTTTCTATTCACAGACATTGAACAAGTACAGAGGTACAGAATTATGACTTTTCTTCTACTTTCCATGCAATGAATGCAGTCATGTATTTATTTCAAAATCATTTAAGAAAATCATTACATTTATTTTTAAATTCTTGCAGTCCCCTGTACAGCAGGACTCAGCTGGGAGAAAGGGAAATATTGGGGGTCAGTCAGGGTCCTACAGTTACATGTGCTGACATTGATCATGCTGATAGAAGGAGACAGCAGAGAGATAACCATTACCAGTCTGTTGCTGTTTAAATCACAGACAGAGAGGTGACCATACTGTGTTGCTTAACTGCAGCAAAAAGGAAAAGCCAGGTCACCAAGCTGGCCATGCCGTGTGGTAGAGCTGTGTTGATCCCAAGACTGGATGGGCAGAAATATAAATCCTTTGGCTGGTAAGACCATTCCCATATATGTATTTTAAAGCTGTATTTAGCGGTTTGAAGCTCAACTTTAGAAACTTTACAACAGAAAAATATTGTACAACAAGGAAATGGCCACTATAAAACACGAAAAGATTTTACTCATTTTCCTAGGCAAGGAGGACCTCTGCTTGGGCCCACCCCCTGCCCACACCCCCACCCGCAGGTCACATCCCAGGAGGCCACAGGACCAGTCCCACTGCTCCACGCAATTTTGCAGATGCACGAAGGGGAGCTGGCTCCCAAATCCAATATGGCAGCGCTGGGGATCCCCAGTGATGAGAACTGGCTATGGGGAGACAGCAATGGGTCTCCAAGCACTGGTAGTTAGCATCCCAGTACCTGTTCACCCATATGGAAAGAAAAAATATATTTGAAACATATTTTAAAAATATTCTTCTTGAATATATTGCCATATATTTGAAAATATATATATATATATATATAAAATATACAAACACACACACACACACACACATATATATATATATATATATATATATACAGTTGCAAGAAAAAGTATGTGAACCCCTTGGGATTACGTGAAGTTTTGCATGAATTGGGCATAAAATGTGCTCTGAACGTCATCTAAGTCACAACAATAGAAGAACACAGTCTGCTGAACATAATACTACACAAACATTAGATGTTGCCATGGTTTAATTGCACATAACATGTAAACATTCACAGTGCAGGGAGGAAAAAGTATGTGAACCTTTGGACTTAATAACTGGTTGACCCTCCTTTGGCAGCAATAACCTCAACCAAACGTTTCCTGTAGTTGCAGATCAGACCTGCACAACGATCTGGAGTCATTTTGGACCACTCCTCTTCACAAAACTGTTTCAGTGTAGCAATATTCTTGGGATGTCTGATGTGAATCGCTCTCTTAAGGTCATGCCACAGCATTTCAATTGGGTTGAGGTCAGGACTCTGACTGGGCCACTCCAGAAGGCGTATTCTGTGCTGTTGCAGCCATTGTTTTGTTGAATTACTTGTATGCTTTGGGTCATTGTCCTGTTGCATCACCCATCCTCTGCGGAGCTTCAGTTGGCGGACAGATGGTTGTACGTTTTCCTGCAAAATGCCTTGATAAACTTTGGAATTCATTTTCCCATCAATGACAACAATCCGTCCAGGCCCTGAGGCAGCAAAGCAGCCCCAAACCATGATGCTCCCTCCGCCATGTTTTACAGTGGGGATGAGGTTTTGATGTTGGTGTGCTGTGCCTTTTTTTCTCCACACATAGTGTTGTGTGTTCTTCCCAAACAACTCAATCTTGGTTTCATCTGTCCACAGTATATTTTGCCAGTAGTGCTGTGGAACATCCAGGTGCTCTTTTGCAAACTTCAAACATGCTGCAATATTCTTTTTGGACAGCAATGGCTTCCTCCAAGGTGTCCTCCCATGTACTCCATTCTTGTTTAATGTTTTCCTTATTGTAGATGTGTCAACAAAAATGTTAGCATGTGCCAGAGATTTCTGCAGGTCTTTAGCTGACACTCTGGGATTCCTCTTTACCTCATGCAGCATTCTGCGCTGTGCTCTTGCAGTCATTTTTACAGGACGACCATGCCTAGGGAGAGTAGCAACAGTGCTAAACTTTCTCCATTTGTAGACAGTCTGTCTTACCGTGGACACATGAACATCAAGGCTTTTGGAGATACTTTTGTAACCCTTTCCAGCTTCATGCAAGTCAACAATTCTTGATCGTAGGTCTTCTGAGAGCTCTTTTCTGCGAGGCATGGTTCACATCAGACAGTGCTTCTTGAAACCAGTAAACCCAAAACAGGTGTGTGTTTTTTAAGGGCAGGACAGCTGTCAGCAACACATCCAATATCATCACACTGATTGGAGTCAAGGTTGGCTCACTCCTGGCTCCAATTAGCTCTGGGAGAGGTCATTAAGCTAGGGCCTCACATACTTTTTTCCTCCCTGCACTGTGAATGTTTACATGTTATGTACAATTAAACCATGGCAACATCTAATGTTTGTGTAGTATTATGTTCAGCAGACTGTGTTCTTCTATTGGTGTGACTTAGATGACGTTCAGAGCACATTTTATGCCCAATTCATGCAAAACTCCACGTAATTCCAAGGGGTTCACATACTTTTTCTTGCAACTGTATATAGATATATATATAGATATACATACATACATACATACACACACACACACATATGTATATGTATATAGATATATATATATATATATATATATATATATCTATATACATACATACACACACATACATATACATACACACACATACATATACATGCTGCATGTTTAAATGCGTTATTACAAAATGTATGAAAACATTTTTAAAAATACATTTCAAAAATACAAATCTACATTTTTGGAATGCATTTACAAATATATGGAAAAATATAATTTAAAATTACCTTTTTAAATGTAAAAAAAAATCTGAAGAATATATTTTTAAAAAAATAGATTTAAAAATATATTTTTTTACATATATTCTTCAGATTTGTTTAACAAAGTCATTTTAACATATATTTTTAAATATATATGTAAATGCATTCCAAAAATGTAGATTTGTATTTCTAAAGACATACAGTATATTTGAAACGTATTTTTAAAAATATTTTTCATATATTTTGTAATAAAAATGCATTTCAGCATTGTGTGTGTGTGTGTGTGTGTGTTTATTTTAAATATATTGAATATGGCCAAAATTGTAGCATTTCAAATATATGGCAATATATTTGGCACGAATATTCTTAAAATATATTTCAAATATTCCATGTGGGTATGTACCCCGTATAATATCCTGTCATGCAGTTCACTTACTCTTGTTCTTGGAAGGATCTCAGGATCTGCTGGAATTCGACCAATAATCTCACAAAGGACAATTCCAAAAGAAAAGACGTCAACCTGAACAAGTAAAAAAAAAAGTTCAATACATTATATGTAATTATTTCTGATTTGTGCTGCAACTAGCAGCAATCTGGATCAAACGTTTACATTGCAAATGCCATGTTCTTGTGGGTATAGATCTGATTAATGACTAATGGGAAAAAAAAGAAAGGCAGACAGCTACATTAAAGGGCCAGTCCACCAGGCAGGGATGTTTCAGCTTGTGGTAGATGCTGGAGGATAAACTACCTGACAGTTCCTTCTATCTCTCCTGAGACTCTATTGGTGAGATCCCAGGTCTGAACACCTGCTGTGACCATTATGAGGGGTGCTCCTACTATCCCCTGCAGGATTGTAATAATAATTAATGAAAAATACACTAGGTAGTGTGAGAATATACAGTATAAAGGTCACAGCATGTTTGAGACATCAGATATCTTGACTCAGCCCCAGGCAATATAAGGAGACAGCATGCAGCCACACACACTGGAATCTACCTAAATGAAACATCAGTTTTGAGTGGATGACCTTTTAGGCTAAAACAAGAAATGCTAAAAATACCCAAGTGTCCTTTATTACAAATAGCAAATGGAAAGTGCCCACCTTTAAGTAATCTTTAAAGCAGTTCTAAAGCCTTAAAAAACCTTCTGTGTCCAGGATTCCCCCTCTATACTTACCTGAGCCCAACCTCGATCCAGCGATGTGCACAAGGACAGTAGATCTTTCTCTTCATAGGGGACATTCAAAGCAGCAGAAGCGATTGGTGCTGTCAATCAAATCCTATGATGAGGGAGTGGGGAAAAGCCCCACTGTCTGTTTATAGACACAGGCTCGGGAGAGAGCCCGCACAAGTACCCCCAGGGCACCCCAGCAGCTGATATTCGGGGCTGCAGTTTAGCATTTGACACTGAGTGGTTTGCTTGTCCAAATTGAATTTAGTAAGTGTCAATTTTTTCTGGCATGTAAACCGAGGCATACATGCTGAACCCTGGTACAGAGAGATGCCACATCTTAATAGATGCATATTAACAGCTATAGGTGTCACCTACCATCCCTGAATTAGCAGAAGGAGGTGTGTGTTGTTGTGACTTATGCAGCATGGATCTGATCACATGAAACATTAAAGGTGGCTGCGACAAATGACCACAACTTGGGTACTAAAAGTTTTACTAGTTAAAACCAGCACTGTTAGTTAGGATGTCTATTATATAGAGTCCAAATGCTGCGCACTGACTGTGATACAGGTGTCCATACACTGGAAATAAAAAGTCTACACACCCCTGTTAAAATGTCAGGTTTCTGCTGTGATGTAAAAAAAATTAGACAAAGATAAATAATTTCAGAACTTTTTCCACCTTTAGTGTGACCTATAAACTGTACAACTCAATTAAAAAAAAAACCTGAAATCTTTTTTTTTTTTTGGGGGGGGGGGGGGGGGGGGGGAGTAAACAAAAAACTAAAATATTGGGGTTGCAAAAGTGTGCACACCCTCTTATAACTGGGGATGTAGCTGTGTTCAGAATGAAGCAATCACATTCAAAATCACGTTAAACAGGAGTCAGTACACACCTCCTGTCTTTTAAAGTGCCCTCTGATTAACCCCAAATAAAGTTCAGCTGTTCTAGTAGGTCTTTCTTGACATTTTCTTAGTCGCATCCTACAGCAAAAGCCATGGTCCGCAGAGGGCTTCCAAAGCATCAGAGGATCTCATTGGCATCAGTCAGGAGAAGGGTACAAAAGAACTTCTAAGGCATTAGATATACCATGGAACACAGTGAAGACTGTCATCGTCAAGTGGAGAAACTATGGCGCAACAGTGACATTACCAAGAACTGGACCTCCCTCCAAAATTGATGAAAAGACAAGAATAAAACTGGTCTGGGAGGCTGCCAAGAGGCCTACAGCAACATTAAAGGAGCTGCAGGAATATCTGACAAGTACTGGCTGTGTGGTACATGTGACAACAATCTCTCGTATTCTTCATACGTCTGGGCTATGGGGTAGAGTGGCAAGATGGAAGCCTTTTCTTGTGAAGAAAAACATCCAAGCCCAGCTGAATTTTGCAAAAACACATCTGAAGTCTCCCAAAAGCATGTGGGAAAATGTGTTATGGTCTGATAAAAACAAGATTGAACTTTTTGGCCATAATTCCAAAAGATATGTTTGGCACAAAAAAACAACACTGCACATCACAAATAGAACACCATACCCACAGTGAAGCATGGTGGTGGCAGAATCATGCTTTGGGGCTGTTTTTTCTTCAGCTGGAACTGGGGTCTTAGTCAAGGTAGAGGGAATTATGAACAGTTCCAAGTACAAGTCAATATTGGCACAAAACCTTCAGGCTTCTGCTAGAAAGATGAACATGAAGAGGAACTTCATCTTTCATCATGACAACGACCCAAAGCATACATTCAAATTAACAAAGGAATGGCTTCACCAGAAAAAGATAAAAGTTTTGGAATGGCCCAGCCTGAGCCCAGACCTGAATCCGATCAAAAATCTGTGGGGTGATCTGAAGAGGGCTGTGCACAGGAGGTGCACTCGCAATCTGACAGATTTGGAGTGTTTTTGCAAGGAAGAGTGGGCAAATATTGCCAAGTCAAGATGTGCCATTCTGATAGACTCAAACCCCAAAAAGACTGAGTGCTGGAATCACATCCAAAGGTGCTTCAACAAAGTATTAGTTTAAGGGTGTGCACACTTATGCAACCATATTATTTTAGTTTTTTATTTTTTACTTCCCTCCACCTAAATGATTTCAGTTTGTTGTTCAACTGAGTTGTACAGTTTATATGTCACATTACACTTGGAAAAAGTTCTGAAATGATTTATCTTTGGCTCATTTTTTTTACATCACAGAAACCTGACATTTTAACAGGGGTGTGTAGACTTTGTCTATCCACTGTATGTCCGCTGTAATGATAAATCTTGCTTTCAGTAGAGACCATTGCAACGTTTATAATGGTTTTATTCAACATGGCTATTTAATAAAATGCATATTTTATGGATCTCTACTGAAAGCAAGATTTATCATTATAGTGGACATATGGACACCTGTATCACAGTCAGTACGCAGCATTTAGACTTGCCTATTCTTTCCATTTCTCCAGTGGATTGCTAGCAGCACGGTGTGATGGTGAATAGAAGAACATGATTGCCTACTAGGTGTATAGCGCTTCTTGTCCCCTTGAGGTTTACTGGTCTATTATATAGTGGTGACATTTTATTAAGGCTGGACAACAAATCAAATTTCACAGTTAACCAGTTATTTTTTTTTCTATGGCTTCATGCACACTGAATGTTTTGGCATCTCTCCTAGAAACCTCCTGGCAGCAGCGTTTTGGCAGAAAAAACACCTAACACTTGTAAAAGTGTGTAATGCGTTTAGACACATCAAGCACTTGAGCGTTAATTCATTTCACTGGCCGGAAAAATAATATTTCTTGAAATGCATGAATGCTCAAGTGCTAAAACGGCCAGTGTGCAGGAGGCCTGTATTTCCCTTTGACAACTTACATATGATATCTTATCATTTAAACAAACCTTGCGATCATATGGTTCTCCACGTAACATTTCTGGGGCCATCCAGAAGGCAGAGCCCACAAGAGACAATTTTCTTTCACCATTTTTTGCAGGCAGATCCACCACCTCCCGGGCAAGACCAAAATCTGTCACTACAGCTTCCCTCCCCCCGCGGGAGCCACTCTGATGAGACAGTTCTGTAAAAATAAATAAATTATTTAAAAGTTAATCCCTATCTTTTCCCCCCAGAAATAAATATCTGAGTGTGTGTTTACCATTTATTCATAGGTTTTCATTTAGACCACCAATCGCAGGCACTGGAGAAGTTGGGGGTGAGAAAAGAGTTGGCCTAAGGGAAGGGGAGAGTGTGCTGGTTGGCTTTTATTAGTAATGGGAGTTCTGCTTTAAAGGGGATGTGATATATATACACTTACACATGCATACACATTTCATTTTATATGCATACTTTTATTGATTTATTGCAGGTACTTATATAGTGCCATCAATTTATATATATATTGTACATTCACATCAGTCCCTAACTCTCAAGGGGTGTACAATCTAAGGTCCCTAACTTACATTCATACATACACATACTAGGGACAATTTACACAGGAGCCAATTAACCTACCAGCATGTCTTTGGAGTGTGGGAGGAAACAGGAGTACCCAGAGGAAACCAACACAGGCACAGGGAGAACATGCAAACTCCAGGCAGGTGGTGTCGTGGTTGGGATTCGTACCAACGACCCTAGTACTGTGGTTGGGATTCAAACCAATGACCCTAGTACTGCCAGGCGGAAGTGCTAACCATTTAGCTTCTGTGCTGCCCCTTAAACAGCAATTGAAATAGGATATGAGCCACACAGTTGTTTTCATTCAGTCAGCTGACTCTTGGGGTCTATTTATAAAGCATTACAAGTCTAAGGGGTCTATTTATACAATATGTGTTGCCTGAATGTCATTAGAATTAAATATCCAGTATTTTTTCTAAGAGAATAATGCCTGTACTGTCAGCTTCATCTAGTGGCGAAAATGTGGTATAGTTTTCGGAAATACCTTAGGGAAAAAAAATATATTACATTTTGGCCACTAGAGGGAGCGGATGATACAGGAATGAATCTCTTGGAAAATTATAGGACATTTCATTCAACTTGCAAAAATGTTTCTGACATTTGTGCAATGAATGTTTTTAAAAATAGACCCCTTAAACTTGCATTGTGAAAATGAGTAGTAAAGCACAACTATTGTGTAGCACTTCAAAGCAGAGCTTACACATGTAATGGGCAAATATGGCTACCCTCAGGTATATACAGAAGTACAAATTATAAACAAAGTTTTTAAAACATTTAAACATATTGATGATTTAATTTACATCATGTTAATCTCTTTCACACATATATCTTCTAGGGATCTTTTAGTTTTGTAAATCCTTTTTAACATCAGTTCTCTAAAACCTGCAATTAAATCTTTATAATTTGCCTACCGTTTGTTCTAGCCTCTTGATTTGCATCATGATGATTTAGACTAGTGTTTCTCAACCGGGGTGCTGCGAAGAATCTTCAGGGGTGCCGTGGCAGAAGGACAAAAAACTGTCCCAACCCTGTACATTTGGTTCTGAGAACGATCTTGCGTTAACTCCTGTATACAGAGAGAGAGCACAGCCCACACCTCCTCCTGGCTCTCTCCTCCTCCCAGTTGCCATCTGTGCTGAAATCGGCAATCCAGAAAGCTTCCCAGCCAGCCTGCCTGCATCCTACCAACCAGTGACATCTTCAGTTGCTAAGGACATGTTAGGCGGAGTGCAGCTATCTCGGTTGGTGCTTTTAGTACAGATAGCAGCTCGTCAGAGGAGAGAGCCAGGAGGAGGTGTGGGCTGTGCTTTTTCCCTACTCTTTGTATACAGATATTAACACACTATCGCTGTCAGATCCAAATATACAAGAGTTGATTACTGCCCCCTATCTCCTCCCCACACTGCTTCTGTCCTAACAGCAGAGATTGTGGGTGGGGGCAGTGATCAACCCTTGTACATTTGAATCTGAGAGTGGTCCTCAATTCCTGTATACAGTGAGGAGAGGAGGAGAGAGCACAGACCACACCTCCTCCCCTCTCTCGTCTCCTCTCTGCTGCTGGCATTACTTGTACTTTGTTATGTAACATTTTGCTACGGAGTTGTTTCCCTGCTTTTTTCCATTGTATTACCTGCAATATTCAATACAGGAGGATTAGGCAAAAAAAAAGCGAAATGCAGGAATGCTCAAAAAACAAAATGAGATTGGATGAAATCCTGGTATGAACAAGTCCACAGACTGGTGTGCCCCAGGATTGTGCACAATCCTAATGCATGTCTTGACTGAAAAAAGGTTGAGAAATACTGATTTAGACCATTACCATCCACATTTTTCCATTGTATCTGCTTAGAAAAAGTGCCAACATACATGCAAGTCTTTGGAGGAAATGGCATTAATCATTCATTGCTTTCCAGTTGGGAACTTGCAAGCTCTTTCTAATAAAAAATGAATCACAGCGTAGACAGCATTAAAAATGCACATCGTGAATGTATGATCTGAAAGGAAAACGGATAGGGAACGCTTTCAGAATCCCAAGCGCCCATGCGGATATGTTTTCAGAATTTTGGCTATAAAATTTGCATGGTGCTCAGTGTGTGGTTTCATATATAGCTAGGACTTTTTTTTTTTTAACATATATCATTAAAAAGTGCAGCTGCTTACTGGCTAGAACTGCTGCCTTTCAGTACTGAAATCCTGGGTTCATAGCCTTTTAGTGCTGAAATCCTGGATTTAAATTCTATCAGGACACCTATGTTCACCTAGGGTGCCTTTTGGTTCAACAACTGTCCTAATGGAAATTATAAAGATACTACAGGTTAGAGAGGATCTCCATTAAGTAGTGTTAACTTCAACTTGTCCACCTAATGTCATTTCTGAACAGCATTGGAGACATAACAAACCTTTCGTGTCCAACATTTGTGGTTCTGGGGTTTAGCAGAGGCTATGATGCAGACAGCTCAAACATGTATGGATATAAGTTGAACCCCCACAGCAGGCAACGGATGTACAAAAATAGACAAAACCTGCTCTGCTTTGTTTCCCTACAGATATGGCTCTACAGTTCAGTCACTAGAAGGTGCTGTGTGTGTATGGAGTATATCATCAATGTAACAAGAGAGGCTGGAAATCACAGATTGCCCTTCCTTCATCTCCCCAGAGAGCAGCCATGACCCGTATGTCCACAACCAATTGTGGTTGTTGGGTTTGCCAAGGGAGCTCATCTGCATATTAACAGCTTGGGCAGAGTTCAGTAAGTACCAAAAAATATACAATCTATTTGTATGTAATTGCAGAGAAGTCTTAAAAACATAGGTCGGCGTTTTGTTGCATGCAGAGCTCTTCCTTAACTGGCCTTAAATCAGAATGGATAGGGTTACTGTGGGCACAGAGTGGCAATTTATCTATCAATACTTGGTGTAGGCTTAGTCACTATCAGTTTATATCTGCCCTTTTATTTAGCTCTACTAATGTTTTTGGAGATCAACTTTAGAGTCAATCTGTCACCTAATAGCAGGACAATGAACTATGAGGCTGTATACACCAGGTGCTGGGAGACAGCATGTGATCTTAATATCTGGTCAGGAGCAGAACAGTAGCTAAATGGTTAGCACTTCCGCCTGCCAGTACTTGGGACGTTGGTTTGAATCCCAACCACGGCACCACCTGCCTGGAATTTGCATGTTCTCTCTGGGCCTGCATGGGATTCCTCTGGGTACTCCGGTTTCCTCCCACCCTCCAAAAACATGCTGGTAGGTGAATTGGCCCCTGTCTAAATTGGCCCTAGTATGTACAAATTGAGTTAGAGATGTTAGATTGTATGCTTCTTGAGGGGTATGGCTGATGTGAATGCACAATATATATGTAAAGCACTGCATAAATGGATGGCACTATATAAGTACCTATATTAATAATAATAATAATAAAGAACAGCAGCTGTCAGATAAGAGGAGCAGCTTTCAGCTCCAGAGCAACAATTGTAATAATTTACCAAAAATGATTCCCATTTTTCGTAAGCCCAAACGTGATTGATTTTATTTAAAGAACAGCAGCCAACCAGATTTCTGCCTGCTGTAGGCAGCCCTGTGATGCATTCCACAACACAGTCCCTAGCTACATCACCAACCTCATCCGCAGATATTGTCCAAATCGTCTGCTCCGCTCCTCTCAAGACATCTTGCTCTCTAGCTCCCTTGTCACCTCCCATGCCCACCTCCAAAACTTCTCCAGAACCTCTCCCATCCTCTGGAACTCCCTACCCCAGTATGTCCAGTCAGCCCCCACCCTGTCTGCCTTTAGACGGTCTTTAAAAACCCACTTATGCAGGGAAGGCTACCCCCCCTCCACCTAAGAACTGTACTTGAATCACCTTCACCAGATCATCCCCAGCAGCTATCACCTTTTGTATCACCTCTGCTTACTTTAGATTGTAAGCTCCACGAGCAGGGCCCTCATATTCCTTCTATATTGAACTATATTGTAATTGTACTGTCCCCCTTTACATTGTAAAGTGCTACATAAACTGCTGGCGCTATACAAATCCTGTATAATAATAATTCCAAGGGGAGGCTATAGGTCATGTGTTTTGCACATAAATACCTTAGAGTTCAGGTCCCGGTGGTAAATGTTTTTAGAATGCAGGTAGACCATCCCTCTGCTGATGTCACATGACAGGTCCACTTTTTCTTTCCAGCTCAGAAAAATATCTTTGTTGGCAAGTAATTCTTCCAGGCATCCCCCATTCACGTACTGGGAGAAGAAATTTAAAAAAAACAAAACAAAAAAAAACACTTTTATATATATTAACAAGTATGTCCAACCAGAACTGGTAATTCAGTTTTTGGTAGATTCTGGAGGGTTCAACCATCTAATAGTTTCTTATGTCTCTCCAATGGCAAGATATCTGCCTGCACATCTGCTGTGGCCACAACAATAGAATCACACTCTCCATGTTGGATTTTCCATCTTGCAATAGGCAATATGGCACAGCAGGAGAAGGGACTTACAGGTGGGCAGGAATATCAGAAATTCTAAGGGGGTTCAGAACTGAGTCAGAACTTTGGCACAGGGATCTCAAAAACCAAGTCCCCAGTCTTCACCTCCAAGTCAAATACAACTTTAACCCCGTCACGCCTAAGGGTAAAACAAATTTTAATGCCTAAGCACAATTTTGCAACATTGACATGTGTTAGTAAAGGCGTACATATCATCCCAACTACTTTGTACATCCAGGTGGATTATACCTGGTTTTTTTTTTCAGGACAAATTGGGCTTTTATTTGGTGGTAAATGGTAATGGATATCTCCTGATTTTGTTTTTTTATTATCAAAGGAAAACTGGCCCAAAATCGTAAAAAAAAAAAAAAAAATCATCTTTTTTTTATTTAGCTGTGTGTTCCTTGTTACTACCATAACCTACCGCCAAAGTACAATCCAAAATAAATTTTCCAGCTCTTGGTGATCGCAGTGATACCATATATGTGTATGTAATTTGTTGTTTGTACCCTTAGTACAGCCCAGAAACAATAATGCACATTTTGTTTTTGTTTTTTTTTACCTAAAAACCAAAAAACACTGATACCATTTTTTTTTTTTTTTATAAATCCTGACCTTTGACCCTGACCTTGACCCAAACACTTACCCTGGCACTAAACTAGATCAAACCTTGATCTAGATATTTTTTCTTTATTTTTTTAGAATTATTTTTTCTCCTTTTTTTGTTATACAAACATTTTTCCCCCATCTATGCCAGGAGTTAGAGAGAAACAATGTATCTCTCTCCTCATAGAGAGAAAAAAAAACCCAAGAGGGGTCGGGCTGTACAGTGACTGATCACTGTGACAGCCAATCAGAGGCTATCACAGCGATCTTGTGTCAGGAGTCCCGGGTCCCGATCGTTAGAATTAGACCTGGGGCTGTCAGTAACACCCCCGGTCTTTGTGCTGGAAGTGCGCCGCGCCGAGCACTCCTAGCAGATAGACAGGTACACAAAAATGCGGCCCCATGGAAAAAAGCCCAGTTCTGTGAAGCCACATATTTGTGTGACATCGGCATCAAGGGGTTAAACAGACCTGATCCAGAAAAAATTCCCTGGATCATGAAAATCTCTGCAAAATCTGTGAGTATCACATGCTGCCAATGGTGAGACTCACTCATTATCGGCCCATACGAAACATATGAGAAGAAGCAACAGCAAACTTTTTACATCTAACCAATGGGTGTCTTTAAAGTGCAATAAACTATATCAGAGCACCACAAAACTGAAAACACAATTCAATTTATTTTAACCACTTTAACCATCAGATCAGGCCTATTCTGACACTTTGTCTATGTGTAAAAATCTGTTTTGTTTTTTTTGGCAAGAAAATTACTTAGAAGCCCCAAACATTAAATATTTTTTCAGCAGAGTGCCTAGAGGATAAAATCGTGGTTGTTGAAAATGTTTATGTCACACTGTATTGTGCAGCTGTTTTTCAAACACAATTCTTTTGGAAAAAATACACTTTGATAAATTTTAAAGCACAAAAACACATAAGAATACCAGTTTGTTTGGTAATATATTAAACATGATGTTACGCCGAGTAAATAGATACCTAACATGTCACACTTTAAAATTGTGCTCACTCAAGGAATGGTGCCAAACTACAATATATAAAAACCTCCATAGGCGACACTTTAAAAGGCTTTACAGGTTACAAGCTTAGAGTTCCACAGGAGGTCTTATACTAGAATTATTGCTCTCATAATATGTTCCAAGCGAAACCTCACATGTGGTGAGATTGCCGTTTACATATGTGTGCATGACGTACATGTGTGTTTGCAAGCACGGTGGGATCAGGGTACTTTCTATTTTTTTTTTTTTTTTAAATGTATATTTTTTACTGTCTCTTTTTTTTTATCACTTTTATTGCTGTCACAAGGAATGTAAACATCCCTTGTGATACATATGGGGTCTGTTAGACCCCAGATAACTCTTCTGCCCTAGAAAGCATTGGATTAAACCCAGATTTGTTTGATTTGAAGCTTTCCCCAGCCAGTAATGGGCGGTATATAAAACACTGAAACCGAAGTGGCAAGATACTTGTCATTTCCAGTTTCGTATACCAGAAAGATGATCGGTGACATTTTGGAACTGCGCAGCTCCACTGTCGGGATTTTCAAAGGGGACGGGAGAGGCACCGGAGGGCTGCAGGGGGGGGGGGGGGGGGGGGGGGGGGGGGGGGGGGGGGGGGGGACACCCCTTTCGCTGCCGGTAAAAGCAATCCAGCAGCTAATTATGTGCTATTATTGCTTTTACAAAAAAACGCATTGCTGGCTGAAATAAAAAAATACTGTGATAATGCCTGTAGCTGCAGGCATCATCCCGGTATACCACTTCACTCTTGTGATGTTATTCACTTTAAATTGCAGAGCCATATTCAAAGCAAACACACCCATTTGGCCTGAGCTCAGCCATGAACACAGCAGGGTGTGCTTAGTTGAAAAACCCCTCCTCCCCTTCTCTATATGAAAGACAAAAAATGCCCATGAAGACTCCAGGAATGTATGAACCCATTTTGGCCTAGGCCAGAAACCAGGAAGCAACTGAAAAAAAAAAAAAAGTTTAACACAAGTAAATATGATATGCATTCCTATATATTTACTAATGCTAGCAACATAAGGATTACAAACAAATGTTGATTGAGAGCGTTTAGTTCCGCTTTAATCGTCACTTGCCACAAAGCAGTTGTGGATCAGTACTGGAGATTCTGGATTGTGACATCTAGTAGACGGTCCCTTTAAATCAGGTGTGGGCAACCTTAGAGAGGGTGGAGATCTACCTGAACACATGGGAGAAGTCAAAGATCACCAGGCCAGTGTCACCTCTTCACACCTGATTTAAACCACTAATTGCAGTACTACTGTGTCACAACTGCGTGCTGTGCATGGCAATCATGGGTTTAAATCAGGCTTTGAGGAGGCATATCGCCTCTTCACCACCTGTCAAACACACTCTGATCACTTTGCAGAGGAGCTGTAGTGTCTTCTGCATTTGTGAATGAGCCCTTAGTTGCATCCAGCAACGGCAATCTTAAGGCTCGTTCACATGTAACTTGGAGGAGTGTAAAACACTGTGGTTGAGCCATGGTTTTATCGTCTTCAATCCCTAACCCCTTTAATGCTGAGGCAGCAGCCAAAGGTATACATATGCCGCAGCAGAAATGACACCCCCTTTTGCTTTTGGTAGGTGCTACCGCCTGTCATCCCAAGACCCATTCAAGTAAATGGGGCCACTCTGCAAGCGCCCCACAACTGCATGCTTCTGCTGGCTCAAAGGGGTTAAAGCAGGTGGTATGAGAGCAACACACCGCTGCCTGTTTAACCCCTTGTTTGCCATATTGCACAAGGTTACAGGGTACTTGCACAGTGTCCTCATTCACTTGAATCGGTCATCCTTGACAGGTGCTACACCCTTTAGCCATGCCTGGGTGTCAATTTTTGTTTATTAAAAATCTTACAAACATAATAAAAAAACATATTTACATATATACAGAATAAATAAAATAAATATATATAATTGAACAAAAATAGCTTACTTCAGCATAGAAAACAAACAGACCAATCATATTTTACTATTATTATCATCTTTATAATGTATCTCAACAAACCCGACCATCATTGATCCCATGCATGCAGCCTTTTTTTCAAAAATCTGATCTTATAAAAATCTAGGGGACGTGAAAGGACAGAAAGAGAAGCCACGCACCCAGAGACTGACAGACAGCAGCTCTGCAGGGTGTAGGAGCAGCACGACAGAGGAGACATCAACTTATGTGGTTCTTGCTCCTGACTACAGCTTCAACTTTACAAGAAGTCCCTCTGCACTGCACTCTGTTTGATGCTCTGGGATGGTGGGTAGACTGCGATTTACCAGTCACCTGGCCGGGATCTTCTGGCAGAGATCTACTTGTAGATCACGAACTACGTGTTGCTGACCCCCGCTTTAAATCATACCCTAGAGCAGGGATTGAAATTTCCACTCACCTGCTCGCCAGTGTGTGTGTGTGTTTGTGTGTGTATGCATGTACAATTGTACATGTGTCTGTGTGTATGTACATGTGTGTATCTGTACATGTGTCTGCGTGTATGTACATGTGTGTGTGTGTGTACATGTGTCTGTGTGTGTTTGTGTGTATGTACGTACCAGGGGCGGACTGACCATTTGGAAACTCGGGCACTGCTCGAGGGCCCGGGGTCAGCAGGGGGCCCCATGAGATGCCCCTGGTACCTTTTTCATAGGCTTTTTGGAGTTTGGGCAAGGACACAGGGGCCCCATGATCCCCTATTGCCCGGGGGCCCCATGAGTTGTCAGTCCACCCCTGGTACGTACATGTGTCTGTGTGTCCATGTGTCTCTGTATGTATGTACATGTCCCTTTTGAAAACGAGCGTGTTGCTCGAAACATGTCAGGGGATCCACCCAATTGACGCCATTAGCCACCAGGGAGCCACTAGCCACCAGGCAGCTTATGAATAAGACCTGGAGGCCGTTTTATGCTCTAATGTGAGTTCCTTGTTTGTTTATTTGCATTTTGTATAATAAAAGATGTACTTCATTATCAATACCATTTTGCCCCCTGGCTCGTTAATTATGAGCCTCGCGAGGTGGAGCTTTTGGGAG